GCTATCCTTGAACTTACGGAGCTCTGTTAGCCTCTGCCTCCAGAGTACTGGGATTAAAGGCGTGCATCACCTCACAGAGATCTCCTTGCCCCTGTCTTCCAGGGATTAAACATATAAGCTCCCGTGTCCACACATAGACATAAGAAGAAAAAGTCTTGGGATGACTCCAAGTACCATAAAGGAAGAGGCCCCAAGCTGAATGCTGGGACACCACAATCAAGGTGAGAAGGGAAGGGAAGGAAACTGAGAAGGGGCTAAGAAAAGAAAACCAGCAGGGTGTGGTGACCAGTGAAGAAAGTGAAGAATGACACAAGGCGTGGTCAATCGACAACTGTGCTGAAGTCAGAGTCATCTACCACAGCCCAAAGCTAGTCTGGGCCACTGCCTCTTCTTGCATTTCCTCGCAGTTAAATTCTGTCCGCTGTCTTCTCACAGACACCTGTTCATCCTAGAACATTTGCTACCATTTTTTTCTTCTGCATGTCTAAGTATGTTACACGGATGGCTATAAAATCCAGATTATGCCTAACACATAAGAGCAATTAACATACCACTGCAGCAATGCAATGGCCTTACTTCATATGTGGCTGTTGAGTGTGCTGCCTCTCAGGCCAGGGCAGGAAGAGTTATGATTTCAAGCACCATCTCATGAGACCCTCACTAAGAAAGAAAGAAGATAATACAATTAACCTGTGGGTTTTGCAGGTGCCCGAGGTGGCCTGCTGTTAATTACAGTTACCTGGCATTTTCTGTCTCATTTTTAACTTCTCATGTGTTGCCCTGCCCCCAAGTCATTTGTTTATCTCAAGCTGATTGGTTCTAAATTTCAAAACAGTGTTGGGGAGTTAGAGAAAGGCTCTAGGAAGTCATTTTAAAGGGAAATGTGGTTAAGGGAAATCGGAAAAAGGCTGGTAGCTACCAGACAAAGCTTCCCTAAATCTTCACAACATGAGAGGGAGTAGACATAGATATACAAATCAGTTATCTCTGTAGAAGGGTTAGTTATCAACAGATTAACAGAATGAACACCAGAGCCTGGTACAGACAAAAGCCTCCAGTGCCACAGAACACAGGACAGCCACTGGTACCTCGGGCCAGTCCAGAATTAGAGGTCAAAGGTACCTGCTGCACATGCCAGGGCCTGACAGCCAGTGCTCACACATCTGATGCTTACAATTCCCACTCTCATGCTTACAATTAAGGGGTTTTCTCTATATTATTGAGTACTTGGCAGATACCAGCTATTCAGAATGGGACATACCCAATGAAAGTACGAGCAACTAGAAATAGCTTGAGTTCTCTTTAAGCAGCTAGAGTTGCCTCAAAATTGGAAGGGCTTGGGGGATGGAGGGGTGGGAGGGTGGTAAAAGTCATGCTCCGAACCCTGAGTCAGCTGAACCAATGACTTACTATAGCTTTAACTATAGCTAAACTATAGTTTAACGGCTGCTGGGAGACTGGGGGGGGGGGGCGAAGGTTTTTATTCAAGAGTTAAGGAAATGCCGGATTCAACAACTCTCATTTTCAGAAGGAGAGTCGCAAGCACAGACCAACTGTCTACGAAAAGGTCAGGACTAATGAAGACTTCCAGATGCTGGCTCAGAATAGCAACCTAGGGGCTGCTCAGGGTGAGGTTGAAACAGGTCTGTGCTGTGGTCGACACTGCAGCTGAAATGAATGCAGGCTGACGCAAGGACCTGGTCCATGGTGGTTCCTACTGAGAGCTGATTTGAGTAAGCGTGTCTTCACTGGTGATGCCAACCCCAAATAACTGAATTTTGTACACCGATTTCTAAATGACAAGGTCTGTCCTATTTTTATAGCTGGTAACTCTGACAGGAATACAAGACCTACTTAAAAATGCCGTTAATCATCAATTCTGCTGTTTTGTAGACTGATTTTTTTTTTTTTTTTTTTTTTTTGGCCTTGTGATTAGAGGTAGGAGAAAGCTATGTGCCAAACATTTTTAGGGGTCAGATGATGTTTCATTTCAGAGAACACTGAATATTCCTAAATTCCCAGAATTACTTTTATCTGTATCAGTCTAACATTTCTAAATTTAAATGTTTCAGTATTAAAACCCAAGTATCTAGGATCTAAGCACAGATGGTTTGACTCTGTGATTACAGGGTTAGGCCTATAATACTAGACATTGGTACAATTGCTAGTACTTGAGAAGGATCCTTTTGTCATATGAAGGTACACAGTGAGGAGCTTCCTATAGCTGCTCCCTCATTCAGATGGACAAGTTGAAAATATCCAATAGAAAAAAAAAATGCGTCTGACAAATAGATGGGGTGATATACATACCCATAATCCCAGAGTTGGGAGGTAGAGGCAGGGAAGTTCAAGGGTTCCCTCAGCTACAGTGAGTCAAGGCCAGCCTAGGATATATGAGAACTTGACTCAACACTAAAACACTTGATTCACATACTTGTGAACCTGGTAGCTTTACAATACAGCATACTCAAGAATGTTGCTTTCAGGACTACCTGGCCTGGGGATTCCCACTGCTGCCCAGCTTCAGAGAGCATCCTTACCACATGTGCCAGCCTAAAGACATCAAAGCTCTGACTTTCAGTTTAGTTTATGCTGCCTGCCTGTCACTTCTGCATCAAAAAAGACAACTAGCAATTACAGAGTGCCATCCGATCTCCAATAACGTGAACGAGATGCATGTCTTCCCTCCTTCCTCCCCTGGAGTATTCTCAGGCCAGATGAGTATGTTTAGAAAACACAAAGAGGAACTGAACTCAGAGACAGGTATTGTACACATGGTGATTGTGTACAAGTGAGCCCAAATTGTTCTGACTTTTCTCCAATCACACCCAAGGATTTTACCCTGTTATTTGAATTATGCTGGCCGGGTAACAGGCACCCTAACTTCTCTCAGACCTAAGCATCAACCGTAGGACAAAAAGTGGTCTGCATTCTCTGGCATGAGCCGCATGCACCGGATTTTTAAAAACTGTAAGACAGGTTATCTGAAAGTATACTTTTAAACAAACACGCCACAGAAAATAACCATTAAAAGTTGATGGGCCAGCAAGACGGCTCAGTGGTTAAGGGCACTTGCTGCCAAGACTAACAATGTGAGTTCAATCCCTAAAACCCATAAAGTGGAAGGAGAGATTCAACTCCCGTAAGTTCTCTTCTGACCGCCACACTCATGCTGTGGCATGCATTTGTGCTCCCCTCCTAAATAAAAGAAATTAAAAATAAGAAGAAGATCAACCTAGTCACTCAATGTTAAATCGACATTCTTTTCCACTCAGCTTTACTGATGGGAAAATCATAACATGGCCCAGGGCTACTCCTCCCTCACACTTAGATAGGAACATGTTTTGTGCACCATCACTTATGCTAAATCCCAATAGGTTACTAGGGGTATCTAGATACCACAAGAAATCATAGTTGACTATTAAACCTCATCTATGCTCACAGCTGAGGCCATCTAAGCACAGAGTAACATGATAAAGGGTAAGTGATAACTCACTATGGTCTGGATTCTCTCCCCCCACTCTCAGCCCCCAGAGCAAGTCACTAGTGAGACTTGTGACCCTATTCTCCACTAGCCCTCATTCTTTTCCTGAGAAACTTACAGTCTGAAGATGAGGGAAGTCCTGATATTGCTCAATAAATGATGACAGACATTCCTCTGGCCACTGGACCCTTGGGCCCCTGGTTTTACAGGTGTTTGTCTATGGGGTTCCTGTGGCTTGGTGGTATTTACTTTGTTAATCTGGAAGTGAAGGCCAGGAGCTCTAAAATACCCCGGGAATCTATTCCCCCCCAAGTGTCACCTGTAAAATCACCATGGTTACCTTCTGACTATGCCTCACACAGAGGGCTCTCTGGCATATGACCCTTCTGCTCAGTGATGATCTTGTCAGTCTGTCAAAACACCAAGGGGAAAATCCCCAAACTCAGCAGACGAATAAACACTCGTAATTCGAACAATCATATTTAGACCAATGTCTTGTAAAAATACAAGTCAGTGGATTTTTCCTTATGTAACTCAACCATCACTATTTTTTCCTGCCTTTACTAAAAGGGCACTTTGCTCTGTCAGCCAATTTTCTTCTACTTTTCTGTGACTGGTACCCAATGTTACTTCTTTTACTATTATAATTTCCATTCTGGGATATTCGCTCTTTGATCCACTTTAACTCATTTTGTGGATAAATCTGGTTAATTAGTGAGAAATGGCAAAGGCTGCAGTGGGGGAGGGGAGGTAAAGAGCACTAACAGGGTCTCACTTGAGTCATCACATAATTTCATAAGAAAACATCCATTTTTATTATAGAATCTAAAACCATTATTTTATGATACTGTTTTTTTGCATACTCAGATGGGTTGACATTAAATGTAGACATAGAAGCTAGCTCACAAATCAACTGTAGGAGTCTCCAAGCAGCTGGCCACAGAGTACAGCAAGTTTCCCTTAGAGTGGGAGGGGTTCCAGTAACTTCTGGAGGTTTTGGTAATGATAAGGAAAAGCTACTGCAGTCTAGAGACGGGTCACCTTCAGGAATTAAAGACTGGTTGCCAGGGGACAATGACACAGTAGCCCTAGAGCCAAAAACCAACCAACCAACCCACCCACCCACCCACCAAACAACCCACCAACCAACCAACCAACCAACCAACCCACCCACCCACCAATCCACCCACCAACCAACCAACCAACCCACCAAACAAAAAACAAACCCAAACCAACCAACCAACCCAAAGGAATGGGAGTTTTGTAATATGTAAAATTACCTTAGATGAGTACTTGGCATACTATGATTCAACAGATTTACAATTACCAACAAAACAGCAAAGACGGTTAATATGATTTCTACCTTTAGTGTAGAAGATAGATTTTCAAGTTGCAGTAATAAATTCCATGATAGCTCCTGAGACAAATCACCCTATGCCCTGCCATACCAGTGAGAAATGGAACACAGAATAAAAAAGTATGGGATTCAGGGTGTTCTTGAAAAGTGACAACTGTATGTTATTAAATGGCAAAACATAGTTAGAGGCTTTATTTAAAAATCTCTCACTGTTCATTATCAAAGTTACAAGATTGTTTGCATACCAATAGACTGTAAACAGGAAATTCTCATTAAGGAAAGATGGGTTTACTGTAATTTGATCTTTACAAAAAAAAAAATTACTGCGTTATTGATTACAGAATTTCTCTTTTACTTTCTTAAGTCTAATTCTCTTGAAAATTAACCAGTGCTTCTATTTTCTTGACTAAGGTTCAACCATGGTTACCTTAGGAAATACCCCGCTTATTTGTTAGTCAGAAATACAAACTGTGGCACATGTTTCCGTTTTTTTCCCCTAGAGCAAAGGCTTCAGCTGCATTGTATTTCATGAGAGAAAAAGACCCCAGTGGTCCTGTTGTGTCTCAGCTCAGTTTAATGACGGCAGTGTAGCAAAGCAGTGGTGGTGCCCAATCAGACCTGCCCGGCTGCCCTATCTCTCATGGAATCTTCTTCCTTCTAGGCTTGCAGGTAGCCACGTGTTGCCTCCACCAAACCTGACTGAAGCGAGGGTGACATGCTGAGTCAAGGTGATCCCACCATCCAGTGTGGAGCTGCTTCGTCAATCTGTTGGCTGGGGGACAATGCTAATATGAAGAAAGTTATCTGGGTAGCTCAGATGCTCACTCAGCCACTGCAGAGGGGTTTCCAGCATTGGCTCAATTCCATGAATCATCACTTGGTTCTTTTTTTCTCCATCTGTTCCAAGAAGGAAATCCGAGAGTAATCAATAGAAATGAAAACCACAAAGAAAAGATAATCCATTGCCTTTTCAGATTCATTAGTGAATGAATTAGATTTCAAGCTTGTTTTATTCCTTCAATAGGAAATGAAGACAAAGAGAAAGTTTAAATGTTGCAAAATGTCTCATCCTGAACAGAAACCTGAGGTTGCAATGAATTTTGATAAAAATGCTGTTGCTATATGAAAGTATTTGTTCTTTCTTAATTACTGTGCTTGCCCAAGATTGACGTTAGTGAAACTATCCTGGAGAAAACAGCAGGGTGAACCCACTGACCAAAAGTATTCTAGTACACATTTAAAACCACTGTAGAAGGCTGTTAAAAATGGTAACCTGATGGAGGCAGGCACACACCCTGGGAATCTGAGAGGATGTTTCACAGATGGGAGCTTTGTTGATTATCAGCAACATGCTCAAGTATTGGAAGTAACAGAAGCACAATTAAAACTATTATCATAGAGAACTGGCAGTCTGTCTTAAGTCACCAAACCTAATTTTTGCTAATTCTTTAAAACGGTACTATGGCGCCTGCTGCCGGGCTCAGCAGATGAAAGCATTTACTGGCAAGCCTGTGGTCTGAGTTTGATCCCTGACACCCACAGGGTAGGAGAGACTCTAGTCCCCAGGTTGTCTTCTGACCTCTACGGTACATGGGCAACCACCCCTATACTAAAAACTAATTAAAAGCAAAACAAAACCCCTAATGTAACAAGCACCGGTCCCCAAAACATCCACTTCAGACCAAATAAAAATTACACACACAAAAAAAGAATTCCTTAACAGTGTCTTCAAAATACAACGATAACCACCTCACATCTCTGGAAAAAAAGACAATGGGGCCAAATTCTCTGATGAGACAGGAGCTCTCCCGCTGCTGCTGCTGTCCTTGCTGCTATATTCCAAGTGGGCTTCAGTCCCCACTGTGCTAAGGTACAGGGGGGGCCTGGTGAAGGGGGGAGAGGGAGAGCACAAACAAAGCTTTCCGACATCCCTGTCACAGTTCAGCACAACTCTGGGGGACAGACCACAACCTCGGGATTCCAGAAATTAAAAACTGTCTCTATTGCTTTCATTTCCCTAGCAACCTTATTATTATTATTATTATTATTATTATTATTATTATTATTAAATTTACTTAATGTATGTGTGCCTGAGTGTGAATTTGTGTATGTAGTGAGTGTAGTGCCCATGGCAGCCAGAAGAGGATGCTGGATCTTTTTGACCTAGAGTTGCAGGCAATTGTGAGCTGTCCAACATGGGTGCAGGGATCTGAGTTGGGGTCCTCTAAAGGGAACACTGCTCTCCTAATAGCTGAGTCATCCCTCCAGCCATCTTTGTTGCATCTATATAACCTTTTTACACAGCTGTAACCACAGAGTTAATACAACGGCCACTTTCATGACACTCACTGGTCAGAACCACCAACACACAGAACCCTGAAGACTGTACATCCGCTCTTGGGGAAGACTTTGAAGAATTGGTGTAAGATGGATGAACACTAAAGTTCTCTAGAATGATTCATCTTTCTAAGTTCTAAGTTGCCAAGGTTTTACCATATTAAATCTTTCTTAGAATATCTGAAAACATTTCCAGTATGGTTTCTCTTAATATTCTTATATTTCTTTGAGCTATTTTAATATTCTCAGAATTTCCTCCTACTTAGAACTGAGTCAAAAAACGAAAGCGTGGTGAGAGTAAAAGTTCCTTGTATGTACAGGTTCTCAAGCCAGAGCCATCTTTTTCCGAGACAGCAAAACTAACAAGTCACCCCTCACTTCTCAACACAGTTCCTGAAGCAGCATTTAAATGAGAGGGAGTACACATCAGTGCCTCATCCACCAATGCACACATGCCTGAGAGGAGACCAATCCTGTCACAACAGTCGCACCATGCAAGCCAGAGGACATCAGAACCATTCCAACTCTGTGTCAAATCTGCCCTATCATGCCACCATGGCACTAGGTAGGCAAATACTGGTTCTCTGACTTTCAGGTTGGGGCCATCTTAATTCTTTCTTTGAACTGCACAACCAAAGTTGGATCTCTCATTGAACAACTGAGGATGTGAGATATGACCGAGGATGTGAGTATGACCAGGGACAGTGGCTCATGCCTGTAACCTGAGCACGTGGGGCAGAGTCATGAGGACAGTCTGAGTTCAAAGCCAGCCTAGTCTACAGACTAAGACCCTATTTCAAAACATAGAAAAGGAAAGCAAAATAAGACAAAGATGTGAAACATTTTGCCATCGCATGCATCAATCCAAACACTTCATGGGTATTTATTCTTTTGTTTACTTTCTGACTTCTCTCCAAAAGTAACTGTAAACAGGATTCTTGGGATGGGGCAGGGTTTCCCTAGGGACTATAATCACAGCTCCCACTGTTCACGGATGTACCCAGCAGCTAGCATGGCACTGATGCACTGTGATTACGCAGTGGGGATTTTCAGCCGCGGGTGGGGTGGGCTGGCAATGCACCTTCAGGCCTGGGTCTGATGGCCACTGGGAAGTGTGTGACTGCAGAACTGCCTGAGCTAGTGAGGAAACGGCGAAAAGTAGTCCCCAATAAATGAGTATGTACGTTCTCACCTAAATCTATGCTTCCATAAACAAAAACAACAAAGCATGGCTGGGTAATTTAGCAATTACCTACATGGACAAAAAGAATACCAACAAATTAATTCCTACTTTCCTCTAACAAGAGAAAGGAAGCCCTTGATGAAATTGCTAAACTAAACATGCTTGGTAAACATGTCTGTGTTTCTAAATGAGACTCTAGACTTAATACTTGAAATTGGAAACATCACTCAAAACAGATGACTCAGGACTCCACTGTACACTTCTTACTTGTGATTTTGCCTTTTGTCTGCTGGGTGATACAAGACTAACCCAGGGCCTTGGGCTTGCAAGGCAAGGCTTCTACTAGCAAGCTTTACCTCGGCCTCCACTGGAGTTTCTAAAACAGTACATGGAAGTCTGTTGAGTGCTGTCCCCTGGCTGTGGCCTTCTGGAACTGTGAGCATCTGACATTACTGAAAGATCTGCACAAGACTAGGTCCATTAGCTTTCAATTGTGGAGATGGGGACAGGCTCACAAGCTACATCCCACTCTGAGCATTTATACACAATGCTCCCTCACATCTCACTGGTCACCAAACTAGACTTGGATGTAATCCTTTCTTAAATCTGTCCCTGGTCCTATCTGAGGTGAGAAGAAGACAGCTGCTCCCCCAGAAAAAGTTCACACAATAGAAGCTTAGGTTAGGCAAACATTTAAGACAGTAAGTAAGAGATGTGGTTGTGGTCATTCACTTTTGCAGGGTGTCTCTGATTCTGCCATACCTTCCCATTTGTGATGTGCATTTTCTAACAAATGTACTTTATAGAACTATTGTATGATTAGCAGAATTTAAAATGACATCAAACTATTAGGTAGTCTACTGTCAAACTTCAACAGTTCCAATATTTTTGTCCCTAGCCTGGTGCTTAGTCCAGTCCAGTCTTAAGCTGTGCTGCTCTTGGACGAGTAGCTTTGGAGCCTGTCTTGTAACTCATTCTGTAGATCAGGCTGGCCTCAAACTCACAGAGATCTCCTTGCCTCTGAACCCCTTGTGCTGGGATTAAAGCATGTGCCGCCACCACCCAGCAAGGGGAGCATTTCTAAAGAACAGTTGCAGTTTTGTGGCCAAGTGAAGGTCCAGATACTAGCAAGTGGTGTGGACCTTTTTCTGATGTCCTAAGACAGTGGACAGGCAAGAGGGAAGGTCCACAGCTGCAGCCCGTGGCCAAGTGAAGGTCCAGATACTATCAAGTGGTGTGGACCTTTTTCTGATGTCCTAAGACAGTGGACAGGCAAGAGGGAAGGTCCACAGCTGCAGCCCTTCAAAGGTTCCCGACTCCAACAATGCTGCATGAGGAACCTTCTAAGTCAGGGATCCGAGGGACACTTCCATCTGCAAGAGGGTTTAGACTTTCAGTTTTGAAAAGTATACAGTATTATTTTATAAGCTATCCACACAGTAAAAATCAGTATCTAAAGTGAATAGTGTTGTAATAGTTGTCTTTTAAGGAAAATATATTTATGGTTTGGAGAGACCACATCATGGCTAAGGACTGGTTCTGCTTTTGCAGCAGAGGCCTGTTTTTAAATCCCAGCATGGAGTACATATCACCCCACCATGATTGCACACAAACACACACTAATTAGTTGTCAATAAAAAGGCTTACAGGCTTGAAACAATAGTAACACATGATGCATCTGTAAAAAAATGTTGCCTGCATACAGATACATGTACACCAAATATAAATGCACACAATAGTATAAATCAGTCATAAAGTAGAGAGGCCAATCATGCAGACAAGTGTTATTAACAGACAATGGGAGTTCAGACACTTGAATCCTGGGAATGAACAACCTAATTCCTTTCAGATTTGCTTATACAGGAAGCAAAGGTATGACACAATGTCATAGTTCACATTCTGACAGACCATCAGCAGCAGGAGAGGTCAACAGAAAACAAACACATAAGCTGGGTTCTCTCCACAATGAACCTCTGCAGTAAAGTCTGTTTTAGATGTTCTGTAGAACCAATCCAACTATCGCATTTCCTGAGGAGGCCCAGTTGGTAACGCCGTGAAGCCTGATGTATGACTAAGACATGTCCCTGGTCCTGCTTGCTGCGTAGAACCCAAGGTTGCTTCTCACCTAATTCACGGTCCAGACTGGCAAATCTCTTGTCTACAGAGTCCTAAAAGACCTTTCTTACTAGTCAGTCTTTTACTCTTTTATGACAGAACAGCAAAATCTTTCCTCTAGACATTAGCCATCAACATTTACTAACTTTGTTAGATTTGAGTCTCTAGTTCCTTATCTTATAGAGTGAATAAAGACTCATCTCTAAGGCTTCTTGGATAATTAAATGACGTGTTTAAGAAGAGAGCCCAGCTGGGTGGTTTA